TAAAATAAAAAGCACGTCAACCTGGTGGCTCTAAAAAGAAAACTTAGAAGTAACAGTGTTAAATTAAACAGTTAAATTAAACAGTTACACGGCTGATCTATGAATAACCATAGCTCAATTTGCTCTGCCAATAATAACACCAAACCAATGTCTCTTTAAACTCAATTTCCATCCACTAAAACCACCCATTTCCTGACTTTCAAAAATTCCCAATCAGATTTTAAAGTTCTTATGCTTTCCTCCCACCCAACTTTGTACCTCTGCTAGATACACCACTGTATTAGTGGAAATCAACCGTGACAGAGAGAAGGGACATTTGCTAGGGGAAAAAAAAAGCCCTGCCCTGCCTGAGCAGAGGGAAACTTGGAAAGATAGGATCAGAGAAGCGTGCAAAAATGTTTGCATGAACTGAATTGAGGCCAGATGTTTGAAGTCCCGGGAGCCCCGCAGACAAGGAGGGTGATCCTGGGAGAGGGGGGATTTCGGAAGGGCTGGGGACTCTGGTTGGAGACCTCAACAGCTCAGAGCTGGAGAGAACATGGCTTTGGAAGGAGATCAAGCCAAGAGAAAGAAATCCCCCTAAAGTATGAAGCAGCAACGGATGTGCATGTGCAAGCACCCAGCACGCAGCAGGCAATTAATTAACATTTATGGGGGAATTAAAAGCAAAAAGTTGGAATTTAGACTTTGCCTCCCTCCCGACTTCTTTGGGCATTGAACCCGGAGAAGGAAATAAGAGCTATTTTCGGCTGCTGACCCAACTGGCAGGAGAGTGGCCAAGCGCTGGTTCTCTCTTCTTTCCCCAAGTTAGAGAAACAGCAGCATCTTTGTGCAGATTCCTGAGTCCTGCCTCCACAACCCAGCACACTGGGGCTGGCTCCAGACCACCAAGCCTGCCAGCAGAGGCTTTGAGTGGCATTGAGATGTGACCCTTGTGACTTCCGGGTGACTACAGGGTACAAGGAGAAACTGGGTACAGACGCCAGGGCAAAAGTGGGCCAGCGGTGTGCCCTGCCAGGTGTTTGCCAGCCACGGAGGACACTCTGGGGCCAGTTGCTCCGCAAAATTTATGGGCTGTGAATTTCTCATACCCATGGAGGAAGTAGGCAGGCGGGACAGACAGACTCCACCCGGGAGGCAGGTCAGGGGTTGACAGTCTTTCCCCGGGGGTGCCCAAAGTGACCAGAGGAGAAGGCTGCTTGAAATGTAGGAAGGATTTCTCTGGTTCCTCTCTGATTCTAATTACTTGGGCATCTGATTTGTCCTTGAGAACCTGACTCTGACCTCTTAAGACCCTAAATTGCTGCTTTTCCTCTTGCCCTCTCCCCGCCATCCTTAGGTTCTGATCTCCACGGTCAGAGTCTGTGACCACACGCATTGCAATCTTACCAGTCTTCAGAGCACACACCTTTCCAACCGACGACATGATAGAACCCTCTGAAGACTCATTTGAGACGATGATGGAGCTTAAGAATCCATCATCAAAACAAATGGAGTCCTCCGAGGGCTCATCCAACACCGTCGAGGAGACACCCGGCAGCAGCAGCGGAGCGCAGGCAGGGGCGGGCCCAGCCAGTGGCCCAGCCCAGGAAAGCCAGGAGCCACCAAGTGGCTCTGTCCAGGAAATGCAAGAGCTGCCCATTGATCTACTCCAAGACATGGAGGAGCCATCCAGTGGCCCATGTAAGGAAATAGAGGATCCACCCAATGACCTACTCCAAGACATGGAGGAGTCATGCAGTGGTTCACACCAGGCAAGGGTGGATCCACTCAACGAAGCATCTGAGGGGACGGAAGAAGCATCAGTTGACCCGACTGAGACCCAGGCAGAGCAAGAAGACAAGACCAACCTGAAAGAAGCAGGAAGAGAGGAACCCCAGGAAGCGGAGAGCCAGCCTGGGATCTCGCCAGGAGAAGCCCTGAGCACGATGAGCTCCATCATCTCGCTGTTCCTCCGGCTTCAAGACCTCAACGAACAACAGAAAGTAGCAGAGGAGATCTTGGTCAGGGGCATCAACGAAGGCCGGCTGCCCTCCCTCAGCCACTTCTCTGGAGATCGCAGAGAGTACCACGAGTTCATCGTGCTCTGCCAAATGATCTTACAGAGCTACCCAACGGTGTTCTACAATGACCACCTGCGGGTGAAGTTTGTCATCCGCCACCTGTCTGGCTTAGCCTTAGAATGGGCCAAAGCCCTGATACAGGAGAAGAGCCCCCTGATGTACGACTTCTCGGGCTTCCTAGAAGCCATGTCGAAGGTGTTCGAGTACCGACAGACACTGCGTGTGGCAGAAGAGGCCATGTTCAACATCAGGCAGGGGAACCGCTGTGCTGCCGATTACATCAATGAGTTCCAGAGCCTGGTACCCACCTTGGGCTGGCCGGATGAAGTGCTGCAGGCCCACCTATGCCAGGGGCTCAACGAAGACATCAGGCATTATCTGTTTCGGATCCCTCAGCCGGATTCCCTGAACAGTCTGATCGTGGTCGTGCTGCAGATCGAAGACAAACTGGCGGAGAGAAGGGCCATTCTCAGGCTGCCCCCCGAGTCCCGCCCACGCAACATGACCTGGATTGACTCACCTGCCCCCGAGAAGTGGATGGTGAGCAGCTGGCTGCCCAACTACTTCCATCCAGACATCGATCGTGCCCATCTCTTCCTGCTGCTCCTGGTCAGGGTAAGCCCCTACCACAGTGTCGCTGTCCAAGCCCTGGTGGACTCGGGGGCAGAAGGCAACTACATGGATGAGAAGTTTGCCCAAGAGCACTACGTGGAGCTCTACGAGAAGCCCTATCCACAGCTGATCCAAACTGCAGACGGCTCACTGATGGGCAACGAACCCGTCTGGCTGTTCACCGAGCCCCTGGTGTGCATCCATCAGAACCACCAGGAGTCCCTCCAATTTGACATCGTACCTTCACCCAACTTCTCCGTGGTCTTGGGCATGAGCTGGCTCCGAACCCATGCCCCCGAAGTCGACTGGATCAAAGGACGCTGCACCTTCCACTCTCCCTACTGCCTGAAGAACTGCTTCCGCCCCCCTCCACCATGCATCGCACTGGAGAAATACAGCATCAGCCTACTACCCGGATTGCCACACCCATACTCAGACCTGGCCGACGTGTTCAACCCGAGGGAAGCAGATGATGAGACTTCCGACCAGCCAAGCTCAGACGGATCCGATGATCTTTCTGAATCAGAGCCCTCTGAGCTTCAGCAGGCTGGAGACAGTGATCACAGCGACGTCTTCTACGAGTGTCCTTCCATCGCGCCTTGGGAACCTGTGGGTGCCAGGATGCGAGAACAAGCCAGGCAGCAAGAGGAATACTGGACATTGTACGACATGCTGACTGACAAATATGACTGCATACAGAAGATTCCAGAACTATTTGACCAGTTACATGGAGCGGCATGGTTCACAAAACTGGAGCTGCGGGGGACCATTCTGCGGGGCCAGATGAGCAGCAACAAAATCAAACGCACGGAGGAGACATGGAAAGCAGCATTCGGTTTGGACAATCAAGATACGAAGACCTACCAGCCCTTCGCTCTATCCTCAGACCCCATCATACCTCAGAAAGTGATTCACTGTATCCTAAGGGGCATGCTAGGTTTCTTTGTGGTCTCCTATGGTCAAGAAGTCCTTGTCTACTCAATGTGCCAGGAAGAGCATATCCAGCATGTCCGCCAAGTCCTGGTCCGCTTTCGGTATCACAATGTCTACTGCTCACTGGACAAGAGCCAATTCCACCGCCAGACGGCAGAAATCTTGGACTTCATCATAACCCCCAAAGGGGTGAAACTAAATAAGGCTCTTGTGAGCCTCATCACAGACAGCCCTCTCCCAACAAGCAGGAGGAGCCTGCAATGCTTGATAGAATTGGTGTATCCCTTCCGCCACTTCGTGGAGCACTTCGCCATCATTGCAGAGCCCCTGATAAGGCAGCTGCTGAGTTCTGAGCCCTTCTCCTGGGGAGAAGAGGAGCAAGAGGCCTTCGAATGCCTGAAGAGGGCTTTCCGCAAGGCACCCATTCTCTACCACCCCAAGCGTCACAATCCATTCTACTTGGAAACAGGCATCAGCAGGTCAACCCTGTATGCCTCCCTGATCCAAACCGATGAGCACACTGGCAAGAAAGTCACCTGCGCTTTCTACTCGCGACAACTCTCCCCGACCGAGGAGGAGTACCCTCTACTGGAGTTGAGGATCTTTCCAATCCGGGCTGCCTTCATGGTGTGGTGCCGCTACCTGGAGAACACCGAGGAGCCCATCATGATCCTTCTCAACACAGAGGATCTAGCCTCTCTGAATAATGACAGGCTCACCGTACTTCTCCCCGGGCATTGGGTCTTCTTCTTCTCCCACTTTCACTTCGATGTGATGGAGCTGCCTGATGATGCTAACAGCAGAGCCCTAACCCGGAGGAGAAGTCGCAACCAGAGAGGAGTCAGGGGCAGGAACCTGCGGCCAATACTGCTTTATGCCCTGAGTGGACACACCAGGGATCAGGATGAAGAGTCTGAGGAGGAGGATGAAGAAGAGTCCGAACAGGACGAACTCAACGAGCGGATGCTGCTCCAGGAATTCCTGGCCGCCATCCCAGCGGACCAGATCCTTAACAGCTTCCTGGCCCACTTCAGCATGGCCCAGATCCGGGCCGTTGTCCTACACTTCTTCGGAGGTGTGCTCTACTGGAAGAATCTCCTAGCTGTGTCAGCCCTCCTGGTGATGCTAAGGGTGGGGCAGAGCCCCTCCCCGCTGCCCGCCCCCTCCTTGGTGGTGGCCAGGCCCCAGCCCCAGCGGTCACTGCGACTCATTCTGGACTCAACCCTCATCGCCGGCAGTGGCATGGCCACAGCCATTTCCCAGCTGCTCAGCCAGATGCCCCCTCTGGTGGGTGCCAACAGCCTCCCTGCTCGTGACCTGGCTGAGATGCTCCTGGGCCCCAGGCGCTGGCAGCGAAATGCCCTGAACGCTCAGCCTCTACGGGGCCTGCGATTCACCCCCGGATTCTGGTTGACCCTGTGTGAGTTCTTTGGGGTCAGAGTCAATCCTGAAGACCACAGGCCCCCTGTCCCACGCCAGCACCGATACTTGGAGCTGCACGTCGTTGGCGATGAGGATGTCGTCTTGCGAGAAGCCCTGCAAGACGACCTGCAACGTTACCGTCAGTGTGGCCTGCATGACGGCCTGCAAGACACCTCGCAGGACGCGCAGGACAACGACGTGCAAGAGGAAGACCTGTCTGGCGACCAGGAGGACGCCGAACTCCCCCTCCGTCCACGCAACCTGCTGGACCCTGAGGTCCTAGATTTCCTCAACAACCGCCTGGTCTACGTCTATGGCCCCAATGGCCGGCTTACTCTGCTCAACAGAGAGCAGGTGGCCCAGGCCCTGACACGGTTCCTGACCATGATCTCCACACAGGCCCCAGCCAGGGAAGAAGCAAGGCTAGAAGAGCTACCGGACTCGGAAGGTGACGATGACCTCGACTGAAAACACACCGCTAAGTCTCTGCCACCTCCCCTTGTGCCTCTGCTTTGCTCAAATCCAGCACTCCTGCCACTCCTGACCCAAGGGGAACCCACATGAGAAGGGCCACAACTTCAACTCATCAACCAGCAACATCATCTGTGCTAAAGGACTAGCCAATCGTCAGAGTCCCAGAGCCAGCTGAGGCTGTGCAACCCTATCCTAACTGTCCTGTCCGGGCCCCAGGCCCACAGCCGGGAGTGAGATCAATGAGAAGAGAGAACAGTGATGAGCAAAAGACCCCGTCACCCCAGGCCGGATGCAGAGCAGGCAGAGCAGGCGCAGCCAAGCAAGCAGATGCCAGGGACCCCCCACCACCCGAGTGGCACGTGGCCACCTGTGCATCCTGGGACACTGACCTCGGGTGCTCCACTGACTTCTTCTACCTCCACACCGGTGCTCCAGCTCCCCTGGGCCCCGCCCCCACCCCCTCCCGGCCTCCCGAGGTCCTGTGGTGCCATGCTTCCTCCCACCCCCAGACCACCCCGCAAGCAAGCCCACCCACACTACCCGTCTGGTCAGGTTCCCTCGACACTTCATCTGACCCTGAACTCTGGACTTACCTGGGCAGAACTGCTCCATGGAGCATCCGACGTACCAGTGTTACTTACCTAACGGACTTGCCCATTTTGATGGGCACTGAGACTCATGGGACACTGGAGTGGGCAGTTGCCCTGAGTTGGGCTCCCTCCCCCTCCCAAAACTTACAATTGGACAGTGGCAGGGGCCAGTGCCTCACATAAGGGAGGAGACCCCTGAGAGACACTAGTGAAACTCCAGCCTGCCGTGCCAGGGAGCCAAGAGTGCTCCGACCAGACCACTGCTCTCTGTCCCAAGGAAGAGAGCCATCCCCATGCTTTACCTCCCCACACCCCTTTTTGCCCCACAAATAAAGAAAAAAAAGATTATCTGACTTTGTGGTTTGTTCAAAGGGTGTGGGAGGAAGTAGGGAAGGGTTGACAGGCAGGAGACAAGATTGGTGGACAGATAGGATGGGAGCTAGAAGGGGACAGAGGGAGCAGAGAAGGTGAGGGCAAGTGGGGGGTGGGAGGGGTGGGGGCAGGAGGGCTTAGCTCTCTCCTGAGGAGCTGGGGGACAGGGGCTGAAGCAGGACGGCTTAACGCCCTCCACAAACAGCAGGGTGGTGGGGTAGACAGAGAAACAGGCCTCCCTACTCCTAAGAAGCCTTTCCTCCCAAGGAACCTCCATTCTAACCTCCTAAGACTCACTCCAAGGGGAAAGGCACACAGGGGTACATGGGGGCTGGGAGCCATCTCTGCCTGTAAGTAGAGTGCCCAGAAATCCTCTTTCACCATCTACCTTCAGATATATGAGAAATGAGGGGTGGGGCATGCTCTGTGCCCGTTGCTAGGCAAGCATGGCCTGCAGCGATTCCCACATCTGCCCGCAATGGGAAGAAGGCTTTGGTTCTGGCCCTAAAAAATGGCCATCCTGAGAGCACGTGGCCCTGGGGAGGGGGGGAGCTCCTGGGTGAGGAGTCACTCACCTGTCTGCACACACTGAACCCTCAGCCTAACCACTCAAGAGCAGCTTGACCTCCCAGGGAAGGCCCTCCATAAGAACTCTGCCAAAAGGCCAGGGACCTTAGTAGGGACCTCTCCCAGTATGACTTCAAACCTCTCCTGGGGTACAGGACAGGACGGGGGTTCTGTGCACAGGCCCTCACACCCAGGGGACATGATCTCTGCTGCCCACATCCCACCTGGGGGTCTGCCCCTGAGTTAACTTAAAGAGACCCTCCTCTGTGCCTACAGGGTGCCAAGGCCCTGGACACCCAGTTTGACCCCGTTCCTGCTCTCTCATCCTACCTGTAATGGAATCACTGAGCTTGGAGCTCAGAGCTACACCCATAGAGCCCAAGGTCACATCCCTCCACACCCTCTCCAGCCCACACTGGGATCACTGTGCCCTCATAGGTCCCAAGGGCCAACTGGCTGATGACATCCTCCATCCTAACAAGGAATCTACCCCTGACAGAAGCACCAGGAGATCATGGTGAGGATCCCAGGTTCAAGGTCAGGGGCTCAGCCTCACCTCACTTCCTGCTTCTTAAGAAAGTTGTCCATGGCCCACCCAGGCTTCAGGATACACTATCCTAGCCTCAGTTTCCCTATCACTCAGAGCTACAGGGCCTCCTATAATATTTCATGAAGGTCACTCTACCCACACAACTTATGGTCTCAGAGCCCAACAAATGACCCCACATAAGATGACATCATGGCAGCCCCCAGAGCTGAAGGGTAATGCACTTCAACATAATATAATATCCTCAACTAGCACACCGTGGTCAAGGGCAGAGGCTCAGATGCAAGAATTACAGTGTCCCCTTAGTGAAGTCACAGAATGCCCTGGCTCAGTCCGACTGGGTGACCATCTTCCTACTGACCTGCCTTCTCAATATCAAATAGGGGACCTAAAAGAGGAGGTAAGCTTCATGACAAAATAGGACCAGGGCCCTAGGTTCCTAAAACTCTCCCTGCCCCACATGACACTCCTTAGGGCTCCCAAGGAGGGGCTGCCAACTTGACGTGGCACTAGTGGGGAGAAAACCCCATCCCTGGACCCTAGTTTAAGTTACCCCAACACCAGGGGGACCATCAAGGCTGGACCTCAAAAGCAAGTTTCTGTCCCTGCTTGGGGTAATTCCTCTGAGTGCTGTAGGTGAACAAAAGGCCTTTAAGTCCCGGGGGATGCCAGGGAACCCAAGGCCTGCTATAGCAGGTGGGGCAAAGGTAAAACAAGACTCATCATCCAACCTGCCAAGAGGGTGCAGACCCCCACAAAGGTGGGTGCATTTACCCACAGCCCTCGTGTAACACAAAGCACCGGGTCCAACAGTGGCCTGCTGGCCCACCAATCACCACAACAGGAGCTCTGCCCACATTTATAGAAGGCAACCCAGGCTGCAAGGAAAATTGGTGATGTGATAAAACAGTGGATTAACATGTTGTCACTCACAAAACAGATGAAAAGCACAATACAAACCTTTTCTCTCCTAGGGAAGAAAGAGAGAGAGAGAGAGAGAGAGAGAGAGAGAGAGAGAGAGAGGAATTGGCATTAAGGAACACGCTAAGTGACAATGACATCACTACCACAAGGAAACGTGAAAGCCAGAGGCATCGGCCCCTGGGTTCTCTAGCAGTGTGACTCCACCCACAGAGGGAGTGCCCCTTCTTCCTACCTTCATTCCCCATTCAAGGTTCCCTGGCATCCAGAGAGCTCTGACAGTGTCCACAGTCTATCTGTCCCCTCCTTTGCCTCCTTCCTTCCCTTATAAGATGCCCCTGACACTGCAGGCTCCCAACTGGGTGTATCACTCCTGTGACAACACACACTCACCACTGGATCCAAATTTGATGGTCCCTCCTACAGGTGGTTGTGGGTGACATTAGGTGCCTCAACACAGACTCTGAGGCAAGAGTTTTACCAGCTCCTAACCAGGTCAGAACAGAGGCAGGAAATGTCCTCTCTGATAATCTAGGTGGCCCTGGTTGGGTCCCATACTAAGGAAAGGAAGGTAAGAGAAACTATCACCCAATTCCCAACTGCCACCATCCATCTTGAGCCTGCTCCTGGGCCCAGGAACACACTTGTTACAATCTATGTGCGTCTGAAACAGCGAACCTCATCCAGACCTCCATCCACCTATGTGAGCTCTACAACCAGCATGACCATCCTCACATCATGGAAGATGCAAGATGTGCAGGTAGGAAGAGGGAGGGTGGATGGGGGTTAGGGTGAGGAGGGAAGGAACAGGACGGGGAGGGGGGAGGCAGTGGGAAGGTTGGGAAAGCGGGGACCTGGCTCCTTCCTATGCCCTTCTCAAAGCTTTGAGGCCTCCCTGGTGGGCTATATGCCTGGGCTGGCTGCCATGGCTGGTTAGTGCGGTTAATAATGGCAGCATCATGAGGATGGGGATGGGTCCCCTCCACATGCAAGGACCTGACTTAGTGACGTTCAGAAGACAGGCCTCTGTGCCAGCTGCTCACTGTGCTATTGTGGTGTCTGTGGGCACCTAGCCTTGGCAGGGCTGGCACAGAGGAAGAACAGGGTGCCTTCTGACAACCCCTGGGGACCCAGCATCTATACTGCATGGAAATCTGGGAGGTATCTCCAAAAGGGCTCAAGGAGAGAGTAAGAGGCCGCCTATGAGGGGCCTCAGCCTCCTGGTCATGAAAAAGTCCTGGGCAGAGGCAGAGGCCCCTCAAGGAGACCCTGATCTGGAGACACTGGTGAGGAATAACCCCACTCTGTCCCAGCCCTATCCCCAAGTCCTGGAAACAAAGACACCATCTCTCCAACATCTGCCCCTCCATCCTGTGGGCTGGGCCGCCTCCGAAGACTTCCAGTGGGAGAAGCCCCAGGGCAGAACCAGGCTCTATTTCTGAACTGTGTGCTCTTGGGCACAGAGTCAGAGGTGGATCCTGGGCCCAGCCCCAAGGAACTGTCCCACCAGGGACATAGATTCCCCTGCAAAGAGGGTCTTCAGAGACAGTCCAGTCCCAGGCCCTCCCCTCCAGGAACTTAGGAAGCTGTGGAGGGAAGAGGAGAGAGAGCATGCCAGGACAGTAGCAAGCTGGAAGACACGTCCCCGTGCAGCCCAGGGTGCAGAGGAGGGTCCGGGGGCTGAGTGCGGTTGAAGGGGATGAAGAAAGGCATCATATAGGAGCTGGATGACTGTGCAATCAACTCCTGCATGACGCCGTTCCCACCCCCCAACTTCTGACTACGCCGAGACCCTCCTCCTAGAAGGAAGCAGTGCAAGGGCCCCGGACGGCAGGTAGGACGGACGCCTGCTGCTAGTGGTTAGAGCAGGGACAGCAAAGGGCAGCCAGCCCAAGAGCGCCTGTTACAGTGTGGAACCATCCACCCCCCGACCCCCCGTCTAGCCTGGCCTCTTCTAGTGTCTCCCGGCTGGACTCTATAAGATCCCCAGAGGACTGGAGCCAGGCCAGGTGATGGAGGGAGAAGGGGGGAAACAGGCTGTCTGCTGCCCCAGGAGTGAACTGCTAGGGCTATACCCTGCCCAGCCACAGCTCTTCAAAGACGCTTACCTGAAACGTTCCTCTCGATACCTAGAAGGGAATCCTGGGGCCCACCAGGAGCTTATGGAGCCCCAGAGACAGTTTGTGAGTTTACAGTTGCTTAGGGTGAGGAGACAGATGATGGGGGACACTAAAGGCTCCCTGGGTTCTTCCAGAGGAAAGAGAAGGTTCTCAAATTGACTTTGGTTGTATACGTCAATGAACAGGTAAAAGACAACCTGCTTTTGTTTGTTGTTTTTGTTTTTGAGACAGGGTCTCACTGTGTAGCCCAGATTGACCTTGAACTCTGGACTCTCCTGCCTTGGGCTCCCAAGTGCAGGGA